GCAGCACGTTAAACCCTCTTTCAAGCAGACACATTTATTATTTTGACATAATAATTTATCTTTGCAGAAAACATTCATTAGTTGCCTTATATCGATTGGTATGGGATCAGCAGTCATCAAAACAGGCTCAAAAATTTCATTATTCCTAGTCCAACCAAAGTTAACAGGGTCAAGTATAGGCATAATAGGTATATGACTGGATATCCATATACGCAGTTGATATATGCACCTGAAATTTTGTTTATCGCATAAATACAGCTCCTTTTGTTATATATACACCTAGCTCAGTACATGCTGGTAAAATGCATCATCTGTGGGTAGAAGTTCAGAAACGGATTTATTGGAAGTTGTGGTCAATTGATATCTCAATTCATCGAGGGTTTTTAGGGCCTCGTTCTGATTTCTGAATAGGGCTTATGCAAATTTGGTGGCGATATAAGGTTCCAAGATTTTTAGAAAATACATTTTTTGCCTTTGCATTTGGACACATGCAACGCTGGTAAACATTTATAAACTTCATTTTCCAGTTTCTGCACTATTTATTGGAATGATCCGTTTTTTATTCCCTTGTCCTAATTCCATAAAAAGGTAGGTTTCTTTCAAAGAACTTACTTCAATAAATTCAGAATAGTGGTAAATAAGTAATACCAGAACATTTGCATCTGCAGACTTCACCAACACTTTTTTTGGTGAAGTATCTGATATTCATATAGACATGGATTATAAGTCGTTCATCAGTCTCATCATGATTCGATTTCAAATCTTTCAATTCGGTTACACGGTTACACCATCCTTATTGACAGGAAAGCATAACTCTGGGTTTTCAAAACCACCAGCGATGATCAGAGTTTCTTCTATTTGTCAGCTAAATGTTCCAAAATATAACCAGTTACAAATTTCAATAGGGATTCTTCATTTTCTGACAATTTTAAAAAATTCCGAAACTTCATCACTTTTCTCTTTCCAGAAACTTCATACGCATACGTATCTGCGAAGTTACTTCTTCTGCGTCTTTCCAAAGACTTGACCGATAAAAACCACCGTTATTCTTAGTGCTTCATACCTTCGACCAAGTGAAAGAATTTGCTTCAGAAAAATACATGCGAGTTCATTAAAAGTTAAGTTGAAAATACTTTATCATTTAGTTCTTGAATAAGTACCATGCTATCTATTATAAGTGAATTGAAGGGATTGTGACCCAAAAATGAAGTTTTAGTGCGAAAAAATCTAAGAACAAATATTTGAACCGCATCTTGCTACGATGAACCGTGTCCGAGTATAAGGGTGGTTTAAAGTGACAAACGCCTAGGCTGTGACGTCACACTGGCTTCGGAGGCACAGTTAAAATATGTGTAAAATTTTCCAAGACAAAAGTCAACGATCTCACTTAAAGCAAATTGCAACCACTTAAAGTATAGAGCACGGTTCAACCACTGAACAACCAGAAGGATATGATTTCGGCAGTTAGCCGGTGTGACGTCACAAGTTCCCGCAAAATTTATTTTCATGAAGAATTTTCTCGGATAGTATGTTGAATGAAAGACTGCGGTTTCCACGGGAGATCTTAGATTTTTTTTCTTGATTTAAGTAGCTTAAGTTGCTTTTTTTAGTCACACCCTTGTTCAACATCAGTTCGAAGAGAAGCGACTGTTGAATATGGTTCAAACTTTAATAATAAATCAGACTTAGCTGTTTTTCGCATACGAACGCACAAAACTGGAAAAGTCAGAAAATGCACCTCTCGGTCAGAGCTGGGATCGTTACTTCAAAAAAGTAACGCGTTACTTTACAGTTACTTTTGCTTAAAAATAACTCGTTACTTAAAATTTACAGTTACTTTCGAATAATGATAACCTTATTTTCGTTACTTATTGGAAAGAAACGCGTTACTGTAACTTCTTTACTTTGAAAGTAACTTCTTTACTTTAAAAGTAGTTCGTTACTTTTAAAGTAACACGTTACTTCGAAAATAACTATTTACGTCGAAAATTGCGTTATTCCTTAATTTGATTCACCAACACAGCAGTCCAAACAATCAAATAAGACCTATACGAAATGCCAATATGTTTTTAGTTTGTGAGTCCGACTATGTGGAAGAGTATTCTTGCAAAATTCAAACGGATTAAGGATTAAGCGACTGAATAGAGCACTTGGTTTTGGACAAACCTGCTCTTTGAAGCGTACCAGTGTTTGCACATACTGTCTTTAGAGCCGAGGCGGCGCGTGGCACGCCCAAAAACGATTATTTTGAGCTTTCAAAACAAATGTTCTGTACTACCCACATTTTATTTGACATACAAAGTTTTTGGATTACTTATTTTCCTTTTCCTCACTCGTCATTTATTTGTAAAGAAGATAAACAAATTGATAGAACGAGTTACTTTCATAGTAACTAGTAACGCGTTACTTCCAGCGTTACTTCAGGAAAGTATCGTCGTTACAGTTACTTATCAATCAATCTGAAAAGTAACGAAGTTACCAAGAAACGCGTTACTTTCAGTAACTCGTTAAAGTAAAGTAACTATTTTTTGTCGTTACTCCCAGCTCTGCTCTCGGTGAATGCACAAATAATTCCGTCGCGACGCGGTTCACGATGGGCTGAGCGCACTCCAGGGCTATTGGATAAAAATGTATATTTCTATAACTGTTAAAGTTAGCACCTTAATTTTTTTTCTAAAAACTTCGTCAATGTTTTTACTACATTTGATTCGATATATATGTATAGAAATTTTCAATAATACACATTGCTCCCGCAGGGTGAAGTTTAAGATGCACGATTTTGATAATTCTATATTCCTAACTTTTTAACAAAAAAACCTTGAGCCTTTTCGAAATTTCTGAACTGTCATTAGAAGCGCTCATATTTCAAGTATAAGTGTGCAAAAAATCAGAATTTTAGATTGTATGCTTAAATTAATACAGCGGGTAATGTTTAGAAAAACATAGTTTTTCAAATTCGAGCTCAGTCACGTTTAAGGGCCGATTTCAAAGTTCAGTCCTATTAAAAAAAGTTGTACATTCCCATTTCCTATGCCCCAAAGTGTCCTCTACAAGATGATATAGGTTTCATCTGGTTATACCTCGGAATCACCCACCCTCAGAAAACAGCGAGTTAGAGCAGTGATTTTATTCCACTATAAAGTCTGTTTTTTTTTTTAAAGATAATTCCCCAAGTCAAAAATTTAGTAACTATGTTGGCAACACAAGCCTTTTATATATAAGAAATTTGAAAGCATTGACAATTTTACATTGTAATGCCAACAAAATGTCATTTTGACTTTTATCTTTAAAAAAAAACAGATTTTACATTATTCCCATATGACACGAGAGGCTTAAGAAGTGATAAGCCTTTTGGGATTATCGCGCTTGGTGGCATTTATAGCAAATTCTATTATGGAAATTTTTTTAAATTTTAAAGTATTAAAGTTTAGTTCGTTGTATAACCTTTTGAATACCACTGGATGTTTCAGGATTACCTAATACTTTCACCTGACACTCAATGCGTTACCAGCAACACCACTCCTCCTTCGGAGTCGTGGTGTTGCTGCGTAACGCGTTTCGTGACAGGTAATAGTATTTTACATTATTAGCCAGGTAAAACAGTTTTTACTGGCGATTGAAGGAAATGACTAGCGAGCCGCCAGGCGAGCTTGTCACCTTCAAGAGCCAGTAAAAACTGCTACCTGGCGTATAATGTACAATAATTTATTTGTTACTCATTTGTAAAAGATATAGGGACAAATAAAAAATCAATACATAACAAAAATTTGAAATTTATATGTTTTTCCTTGATTTTTTCTCACAGAAGTTTTGGTAGTTGGTATAACTATGAGAATGATACGTTGTTAAGACGTTGTTTCTAGTTATAAATAGGTTTTTTGACAGATTTCCATTTTGCAATTTTTTTCCAGAAATGAATTTATTACAAGATATTATTAATGAAGCCTCAGTCGTAGCCAACAGTTTATCACCAGAAAAGTCTCCCAGAAGGTACCTACAAGCAATTATTCTTGTGATAAAACCGATTTTTCAAAAATAAATAATTCTACTGACTTGTAAAAAGTTTTTACAGTTTAGCTGTCAATTTTACAAGTCAGTAGCTTGTAAAAATCAATTTTCGCTGGTTATGTTTTGACTTGATAAGTGACGTTTTACAAATGAGTGACAAATAAAAGTATTATCCGGTAATCCTGAAACCTCTTGTAGTATTACATTCGATAATCCTTCTAAATATGAATGTCATTATTTAAATTGAAAATTCTGCACTATTCGGAATAAAGATTGTTTGAAAATTAAATATTGTATTTCATTCGGAGTATTCTTCATGTGACTTGCATGGATTTGATTCGCCTTGCTGCGCTCGGCGTTCAAACTTCCATGCGCGTCACATAAGTATTACTTATACTCCTAATAAAATAAATATCTATTATAGTTTTGTTTATAAAGATGTTGATTGTGGTTTTCAATTGGTTTTGTGTATTTTAACGTATTTTTTCAAAGTTGGATTATAAAGTGTGTGTATATTATTTTGAAAACATTATTCTGAGGTGCTCGACACCTAAATTTTGAAATTCCCGCTAAAAATATAGGTCAAAATGGCAGCCTCCTATGTTATACTGGTCCGCAATTATTATTTGGCAAATAAAGTGTTCAAGATTTATAGCCTGCAATATGGCAGTGCATTTGCAATGCTCATAAAGCAGGGTAAGAATGCTATTAGTAAGTTTTTTGCTGAGTACTCATTATATAGGCGGAACAATAATTTACATAAAGAGAGGATATAAGTGAAAACATTTTTCTTTCACGTGTCTTGAAAAAGAGAATAAAAATCCGAGATTTTAGTTTTGAAAATCAATTCATCATTGTCTACCTTCAAATTCCCAATTTAGACACTATATTTTATTTTTGGCTGGAAACTTTAGTTATAATCGAGAGACCTATTGAATGTTAAGCTGCAAAAGCTCAAAAATTGAACAATTAAGTAATGACCAAAATCTTACCTCTTTATTTGGCGGTGCAGGCTGAGGAGTCTGTCTAGCAGACGATTCTCCTGAAGCAGGCTGTGATGCGTTTTCACTATCAAAAATTTCATTTAACTTATCCACGCCAGTGTTAGGATCAATTATAGAAATAGCGTTAGGCCGCCTCTGTTTTGTATTATTCCTTCCAGGATAAATATTATGTGTTAAACCGGGCTGAGCCAATAGTGGCGCTGCTTGAGGGTTTCCAGAACTTGTATTGGCAGGGGCAGCTGATACAGGGGTGACAGAGGCCCTCGATATCATCGGAGCCGCTTGTGAAGGGTACATGTAAGGTACTGGATGAGTGTCTGAAATAATTGATTAATGAATAAAATATTTGTATTTTTTCTTGTTGGGGCTACTTACAAGCTTGCACTCCAGATGGAGTTGTAGAGGAGAAAGTCTGATAAGCCAAAGATGGAGAGAACACTGCCTGGTGGGGTGGGTAGGCTTGAGGCCCCATCATGGTGTTCGCAGGTCTCTGGTTGTTATAGTAGACAGTGGGCGGTTGAATATATACCGGTTGCATTAGGTAGGGCTGTTGGGTGGCGAATAATTGCGCGGGCGTTGCTTGTTGAGCTTGCTAAAAATTTCAATAAACTGGGTACCGATGCAGAGTATAAAAGAGCATCTGAACGACTCTTTCTTGTATGGTTAAAAATCCTTTAATATCTGCCCCTGATGCAATTTTGAAATTAATTTCTTGCTCACGTAAAGGTAGCTGCTCTACTCAGCAGTGCAGCTTTTTCAAAGCGGTTGAAATGTTCCGTATTCTGCATACATTTATGACGAGCATGCCTGTGGCAACACTAAAATCGACAACCCTGAACTAACAGTAGCCGCTGTTAACGTTCAATGTCAATCTTCTTCACTGGAAGAAGACCATAATTTTTACAATTGTTTATATTTTCCCTGTAAAATCTTTCTAAAAGGTAATGTATTCGTAACCCATTATGAAAGCGGTTTCATTCGTTTTGGCATGATAAAAAGCATAGAAAATTAAACCTCCATCCACTTATTTTATTCAAATTAAACAAGGTTTAACCCCCCTCAATTTTAGATCTTTAATTATGCAATCGTGGCGTAGATCCAACTAGAATTTCACAAGTGGAAGATGTTTTTTTTTCCTAATTTCCCATACTAAGTCAAGACTACTGTAATAGGAAAATAATTCTTACCCGATGTTGACTGGGCATTCTCTGTGGCTGTGCAGGGGCCCCAGCGGCGCCCCTTTGAAAATATGCCTGTGCTGGCCGAACACCCTGATTTGATACAAACTGCTGAAAAAAAAAAACAGTACTAATATTACTCGAACAACTAACACTAAAATACCATGGGGTTTCATGGATGATAACGTCTTATCTTAAGTCATTATTGAGCAGATAACAAAAATAATTTCACAATTTGTGATAAAAAGAATTTTTCAAGAATATAGTGAGCATATTTGGCAATTTAACCCTTTTTAAAATAGCTAATTTTACTATAAATGTGAAGATTTATTTTGCCTTACTTATTTGGCATTTTCAGTAAAATTTGTGAAATTTAGACTATTTTTCAATTGCTGAGAATTCAATTTTATCAGCACTCATTTAAATGTATTTGGTTTAAGTAACAAGCGATTCTCGAATTTATTGTTTTTATTATTATGAATGATTTTCATTTAGGTATATGTACATATTTATTAACATTAGAAATAGTACTGGGACTGGGCAAGGTAGGTGTGCTAACTCTAACTTAAACATTGAGTCAATTTCCTACGAAGGAATACGCCTTATACTTATATTAATTCTCAACAAACAAAACAACAGGAAATACCAAAGAAAAATACTTTCTGCTGCCTACAAAGTTGAAACACAAACATATTAATTGTCGCTTTTCAATTTGAAGCATTTTTATGGCTTGCCGAATAAAATAAGATAATTACCATGCTAGACATTCTGATTTTAAATGAGATCTTGTATAATTCAACTATTTGAAACAATTTTACTGGCCAAAAAGATTATTGGATAATTTAAAAGAAAAAAATCTTATAAAATAATTACAAAATAATATAATTGCCAACAGATTAACAGTTTATAAAACATCTACAGCAAGCTACTTGCATTTCGGTGAATAAACCACTTTCTTAGCTTCTCATAAAAATCCTTGAAGCTTGCATTTCAGTGATAAAAATAACATCATTCTATGTTGCAACCTGAGTCATATTTCAGGCTCGTTTAAACACTATTGAAGCAAGGAAATTCAAGTAAAATTTCTGAAATTAACCAATAGGGAGCTAATGTGGCACAACTATAAAAGTAAAAGTGCACTTTAATTGCCTTGACAAGAAAAAAATGTGAACAATCTTTATTCATTGTTGCCCCTCAAAAGCACTAGTTATACCTTTTATACCTTATAACATTATGCCACTACTTGAAATTACTTATTAATTTTACGCTTGGGCTACTTGAAGTCACCTGATGTTTGACATAAAGCCATACTAAAATTGAAGATTTCCTTGCAATATAAATAATATAACATGGAAATGACCGCAATTCTAATTCATTTAAAGAGACAGGATGTTCTTGTAATACTACACATTTGAACTCGAGCAATTGTACCTACTTTTGTGACTTTGATTTAAACAAAGAGAATATTCGAATTCAGCCATTAAAAAGTACCTGTTTTTGGGACACCTTTAATATTTAAGAATAGTCTGAAATTCTTACCATCTGTTGCAGTTGACCAGGTAAGCTGGCCACTTTCAGGTCTTGGTTGGGCGGCGTAGACGCTTGATTGGGCGGCCCGGAGGATTGAATATTTCTCAAACTGCCCGGGCCTTGATTGGGCGGCTGCCCTTGTTGCACATAGTTCTGGCCCGGATTGTGATATGCATCGGACCCTGCATAATCAGTTAGAGGGAAAAAAAGAACAATAAGAATAGAATCTATCAAAATTGTTTTAAATCGAAAACAAACAGAACCAGCATTAATACTTACTATTAGGGGGTTGAGTTAATATGGGCTGATATCTTTTTTCATAATTAAGGAAACTTAGGTAGGAAAATCGAAAACAATTTAGTATTTACACAAAATTACCAACCTAATAGCATTAATTTCAATAGAGGGACGTCAATTTTAAAGCCTTTGAACCTGAATGAAATGGCATTTAAGAAAAAATCTAATTTGTGACTTACTTAGAAGCATTCTCAATATTCACAGAAAATCATCAGCACTCAGCAACAGTTGTAGTAATGCCACCGTTTTTGAAAGATTTAATGTGTCTGAACTAAATCCTTCACCAGTTTTAATTTTTGCTAATAAGTTCTAGGGATAAGTAGGTACTACCTTCAAAACAAGGACATTAGTTTTTATACCCTTTTAATGTATTCAGAGAAGGCAATCTTGGATGCTTAAAATAAATACACAATGATAATGGGATTTCATTCAAGTATAATTCAGGGTAATTAATTATTCAAAATTGTATGAAAAATGGTCTTTACTAAAACTTGACGGGCTTTTTGATTGGATATGCAAGTTATCTGGTAAAATACTTTCAAAAAATTTAGACTGGCAACACTTTCAGGGATTTTTCTTATTATTTAATAAAGCTACATGTCTGGATATGTTATGGAGTGTTGTCTGGATAGTTTTTGCAATATAAAATTTACGTATTTCGTATTTATAATAAATTCCAATCAATAAACCAAAAAAGAAACGACCAGCAAAAATGGTAATATGTAGATCATTTTCGAACAACTGATTTCAACATGGCTCAGCCCTTATTGACTGAAGGGTGGAAGCAAATAATACAAATAATCAATAAATGTAACAAATACAATCTTATTTTTTATCAAATCAAAACTCGATAAAAAGCTCACAAATATTTAAACAAAATGAAACAAACACACACATGTTGCCTTCCAGCCAAGTTCCTGCCTGGCTTGTGTGATGTCATTCAATCAATAATGATCCATGTGTTAAAAATTAGCGACTTAATAAAAACATTTCAGTCGATGCAACAGGTAGGTAGGTATCAAATTTTTATTGCATTGCATGAAGTTTCCATGTCCAAAGTAATAATTAATCGCATAATATTTGAAAAAAGATTCGTCTTTACACTTACTATTGAAAAACTGAGGCCTCCACATGGAGAAAGTCAAGTACACCCCTATTACAATTAAAAATAAATTAAATGTATCACGAATCACATTATTATTGCGCTACAAAGACTAGAATAGATGGTTAGAAAATATAAGGTTTTGTTCATGTAACGAAAACTTGCAATCAACTGCAAACAAATCAAATTTGAGTGTTGCCTGTGAAAGTACCCAAACCTCAGGGGTTGCAAGTACCTGGAAATATGAAAGGAAGGGGAGTTTAGGTTGCAGGCCCATGCATTTTTTTTACCTGAAGATTCTATAAAGTTTTGCCTTAGAAATGCAAATTGAGTATATAGGTAATTGATTTTTAGATTATGGTATAATGATGGGTAATGGTAATAAGACTAGACTAAAATAATAACTAATGGACTCTAAATTGTATGGGATTCAAGTTAATGAATAAAAGTAACAGGTAAGTGGATCAGGCAACAAAAAATTAGAATATGTAGATTAAAAAACATCGTTTTTCCAGTACTTGTTCAGAATTCATCCATTTTGGCGGAGTTTTTGATTACGAAAAAGCTCCATTCCTTCAAAAGTGGAAAAATATTCATTCTATAACTATTCACTGGTGGAAGAATGTTCATTCAACTTCTTAAAGATATAGAATAGATACCGCCGCCATCGACTAGTTACAGCAACTATACTACGCAAAGTATAGTTTTCGGAGTTTAGGTAGTGAAGATATACAAATTGGAACAGCACAAGTGTACAGGGTGGTCGAGGCACATCCTCATCATTGGGATCTCGGAAACCGTAAGAGATATACGAAGTAATTTAAATTGTGACAGAGTTGCGCAGTTTCACACCTAATAGAAGGCCGTTCTGAATTTTGAAAAATTCTGAATGCCTTCGGAAAAGATCAAAACAAAATACTGATATTGCGGTTCAGGTTTTTATTTTTTTCGGGCACCATTCTAAAATTTAAAGTAAAACAAAGATTACTTTTTCAAAGGACTTTTGAGATAAAACTTATTGAGGATGGCGCACCACTTCATAATTGAAGGGCAGTAACAAGAAACTCGATTTATTTGAAATATTTTTGTCAATCGGTAAATTGGGGAGCAAGGGGTGGTGCAATGGCCTGTCCGATTTGTCTCGACACGCTCATTTATGAAAAAAAAAATATATTGCAAAATGCAAATCTGCCAGAAACTTATTTATAACTATAAACAACAAGAAGCCATTGAATAGTTTCGAAGCCACTCAGTACCACCTATACAAATTTCGGATTCTACGAACAAATTTTAGATTTTGCGCAGAATCTTAGCGGTACATTGTACGGCTTCCTCCTGTGTTGGAACAAAGCTATTGTATTCTAAATCTGAAGATGCCATCTTGTAAGATAAACTGTCATCTATGGTGATAGGTTTATCTTTTCGAATAACGCCAGAAAAAATAAAAAAGAATTTTTCTACAAACGTGTTAAAAATGCAATTTTGAACACCCCCTCGAAGCATTAAAAATGTTACTTTATCGCACTAGTGCCATAAAGTCTTTATAGCACTAGTGTTAAAAATGAAACATCAAATTTTGAGAGCGAACGTCAAAAAAAGTTTGTATTTTTAGTTATTTACATTAATGGTGAAATTTGAACAACTAAATTAGCCCGATTGGCCGCCTCATCTATATTTTTCGAGTGATCGATGAAACCCTCTTTTTCTTCTGTATTTTCTTGCTTTTTTAGCAAAAAGCATTACTGACCATTTACTGACCACGACAGGCTTTTAAGAAACTGACAAGACATTTCATTACCTGTAAAACAAGGTGCTGGTTGTTTGGAATTTTTGACAAATGTCAAATTTAATAATTTTATGTAGGAAAGGGAAAGATGCTTCCAATTTATTATTCATTTAAAAATCCAATTTGTTACTGGTTATTGCTTTTTAATGCCGTTTGTAGAAAAAATATTGTATGATATTTGTGTTAAAAGTATTTTTAAGGCACTTATGTGAATTGCAGAATTCGCTTCGCTCATTCTGCAAACTTTCACATGCGTGCCTTAAAAATGTACTTTTAACACTTATATCATAAATATCTATTATAGGCGCAGTGAAATACTCCAGTTTTAATTGGTCAACCAATCGGTACAGGGTTATCCAACGAGAGTGTTTTTTACCTTATATACCTGTGAATTGAAGAGGTACAAAAAAAATTTAAATATAAAAGTTGTTGGGATTTTTATAAGGAATTAGGAGCATTTAAAAAAAAATGGAAAGGCGGATTTAGAAAATATAGCAAACAATTCAACATTTCTTGCTTAATTTAAATGGAATAACCCATTTTTGAATATGTTTTTGGATTCTACATTAAATTTTAGCCTTGATATGTTACATGTCCTATTATTAAATTCAGCAATTTTGGAGATATCGCTAATCAATGATTTTTCAATATAAATTACGAAAAAAATTATATTTCATCGTTGGAAGCTGGTAAGAGTGGTAAGTTCCCGTCTAGTCTTGCTTATTACTATTGTTTATAGTCATTATATTGAAAATGTGTCCAATATTAGATGAAATATGCAAAATTTTGCTTAAATCCAGCTTCACCTGATTCACCTTTTACGAAATTTACTTTGGTAAAAGGTGAACCAGGTGAGGCTGGATTAAAGCAAACTTAGCGTATTTGATCTAATATTGGACACATTTTTTTAAATAAATGCTCCTAATTCCTCATAAAAATCCCAACAACTTTTATATTTACCATTTTTTTGTACCGCTTCAATTAACAGGTATATAAGGTAGAAAGCACTTTCGTTGGATAACCCTGTACATATCAGGGAGGTTCAAGTGGTGACGCGACACAATAATCTCAGCCGGGTTCAGTGGGAAGGGCGTTTGATATACATTGTACAGTGTGTGCCATTTTGGTTGTAAGTACATAAGGGATATCTCCGTTGTTATTGGAGTTAGAAGGATGCGGTTTTCGCGAACGTGGGATACTTTTCTGTCAAACAAAAGATGCCGTCAAGAAAATTGTCATTTCTCTGTTCGTTTTTCAGATACAAGGTGTTTTGAAAATGTTGCATTTTGGGACACCCCTTGTATCTCGGTTCTCTCATAAGTGATCGAAATGGTGACAACAGGTTCTTAACATAGATTCTAGTGGCGAAGCGAAGGACAACCCTTGTATCTCGGTTCTCCCATAAATGATCGAAATGGTGACAACGCGTTCTTATAGATCTTTCTACGTAGATTCCAGTGGCGAAGTCAGTTTGTCTCTAGAAGTGATAGTTTTTAAATTATGAACCAAACATACGTTTTTTCAAATGATACTGAGACACTCTGTATATTAATATGTGGCTCATTGGATAGCTCTGCTTTCACTGATTTCAATGATATGGAGACCGATAGGTTTCTCTCTATCATGTCTGTTTTTGTCATAAGAAACGATGTGTCAGAAAAGAAAAACCTACTACGCAACTGGAATCTATGTAAAAATATACAGGGTGGGGATTTTAACTGGAACTAATTCGCTAGAGCCTTCAGATAAAATATTTGGACAAAACGCAAAAACACGTCGATTAAGATTTGTTGCCTAAGATTTTTTCACATAATTTTTTTTATACTGGGTGTTCCAAGAACACGGTTATCAAATATATTTTTTCAAATAGTAACCCCTATATATTATAACATTTTTGGATTCTGCGGAAAATTCTAGACATATTTTATGTATAATGTCCTATACTTATCTTCAACTGTTTCGGAAATATTGACAGTTGAAAATTGACTTTTTTGCAT